CTCTACACGGATATAGTTAGTTTATTCATGCTTATTCCTGCATTTTCAAGATTCAATGCTTTTATTGTCATTCGTACATAGCTACAGTGTAGTTATGTCGATGAAAATCTTAGGTCCCAGGCCTCCAACAGTGCAACACAATAAAACAGATACAATAGTGCAAGTAAATACAATAAAATAGAATAGAAGCAGTGCCATAAGAGTCTATATACAAGTGTATGTGTTAAGTTTATTGTATGTCACATTATTGAAGGAGCCTAGCACTTCATATTTGTATTACAAACAACCACCTTGTAGATTTTGTGCATATGAAAATAAGGTTTTGAATCTTGAATCTAAAAGTATTTGCTTATTTTCTGACTGTGCAGGGTCGGGAGCAGGAGCACACGTTCATGTTCCAGCTGGCAGGCTCCAAGATCTGCAAACACCTGTGGAAGTGCGCCGTGGAGAGCCACTCCTTCTTCCGGCTACGCCAACCCACCACAGGCAACGCCAGCCGCAGCGACTTCACTCGCCTCGGGTCTCGCTTCAGATTCAGGTAGAGCTCGGAGACATACTCACACCTGCTCTTCATACTCATAAAGTGTATAAAAAGGATCATATAAGTTGGCTCCGACAGGTAGTTGTGGCCGGCACTTGTTTCAGCATCTAGGGAATAATGTGTCACATTTAACAGAGCCTGTGTATCTATGGTTACAGTGTATCTATGGTTACATGGACCTGTTCCTATGGTGACTGAGATATTCCCTTCTTATTGTTTGTTTTCTTCTGACTATTATCAGAGATGGTCAAAGCTTATTGTCACACTTCAAGGCCACTTCCTGGCATTCAGTGGAGCAGCTAAACAATGCATCGTGAAGTCTGTTTCACATTGGGGTCACTGGATTAAACGCTTAAACTACAGCTGGAGTAAAAAACACTTGTAGAGTGTAATGAAATCCAGTTTGATATCTTATCTGGAGCTTCTTGTTATTAGACAGTCTATTGGTAATATATAATAATGTAATACAAATATATAAGCAATTTAGTGTGTTGAATACATATTTTAAGAGCAAAAAATAACCAATTAAATATAATTATAGCGATACAAATTATATGAATTCCTTCAGTTGAATAACTACAAACCTGTTTTCAATCATGTTAAAAGGCTGTGCTTTTATATGATACTTTTTTCATGCATTTAATTAGTTTTTAAATCAATCCTCAGAACTTAATTCTAAACAAACGAAGTCAGACTATAGTGTGATATTTTAACAACTTGTATCTGTTTTATTCTGTTCGTCTCAGTGGTAAAACAGAGTATCAGGCCACTCATGGAGGCAGAATGAGGAGAGCAAGCACATTCGAAAGACGGCCGAGCAAGAGATACCCGTCCCGCACACAGTCCCTGGGCAAAGGTGAGTCTTATCAGCACGTGCAAACATTGACTGGCTGTATTATCTCAAAGAAAGAAAAAGCCGCAGTCTCTAAAAACATCAGCCTTCCAAATAATTTTCTAATATCAACAAACATTTAATAAAAACTCTTTCCTGCGTATTCATAACCCAGATTGTTACACATAAGTGTCACATCCAAATCACCTGCATTCCTCTTCCATACTTCCTCTCTTTTGTGAGCTACAGCAGATTCACAAGCTCATAAACCCTCATACATGAACAATCAGGTGCATACTGCAAATTGTATTTACTGCCACACTTTATTTATTGGATTCAGAGTTACTTAAGCTATGCAATACAAAACTAATTGAAGATTAAAGTGTAATTTACAGATGATGTTTGGAGTGACAACTCGAGTCTGGACTGAAAGGACAAAGACAAATGTTCAGATAATGAAAATAAAACTGTCTTATAGTTGCTGCTGCTCTGCTTTTATTCTCTCTTACCTGACGTCATACCTCTCTGTTTCAGCTGCTATTTCTCCAGGAAAGCCACAACATATCAGGTAAAACACACAAAAACACCCACATACCCGTTACACTCATGCACATTCATATTGCTGTACTAGTGAGGACATTCCACATTCCATTTATTACATTAATTCCTTATCCCCTAACCTTGACCTTAATCCTCACAACGGCTTGGATAATCTTAACGCTAACACTAAAACAGCCCTTTGTAAAACAAAGTAAAATGGCCCCTGCTTTGTAGGTTGTCCCACACCTTGTGGGAATACTTTGTTGCTCAAAACACTCAAAATCAAATGTTTTCAGTTGGTTTGTTAATCTGATATCAGTGATTATTGTCTCCTTTGTCCAGCTCTCACGCCAGCCCTGATCCCAGCCTTCATCGAGTGAGTGACCTCAGATAACCTACTTTTACACACACACACATGCAGCAGCCACTGATCTGGCCTCGCTCCTGTGACAACATTTAATTTCAGCGTCTCCTCAATCCTCCCCTCCAGTACCAGCACAACATTCCTATTGGCCACGAGCCGTGGCACCCGGCTCACCCAGCTCTCACGCCTCCAGTTTACCTGCAGCCCTCGGGTCACACGCCACCTCACAGGTAAGACAACCGGCCGCAGAAGACACAGAGACCAGGTTTAGAGACACTCAAGTTGAGGATGTGGTTGCTTAATGAAGACGATGTGAGTCAGTCTCAAGGGTTCTTCATCCGAAATTGAGAAGAGGGCAAGTTTCTATTTTTAGGCAAACTCACTCATCTCATTGCCTACATTTGTTTCATCATGCCATGTCACTCATAAATCTTACATGTCTTGTCCTGTGTGTTTTTGTCTGTGTCTCCATCTCCCCGCCATGTTCAGGCCTTCTGTGGCGCCCAGTCAGCATCCCCTCCCGGAGAGAACCAGCGGCACCTTCCCAGGATCCATCAGTGTGGTTTACAGGGATAAAGTCATGACCGCACTTTGACCTCAGTTTGAACTGGGAATCTGTTTCCAACCCAGACTTTTAACACTTAGAATAACACAGACTGGCGTCCCAGAGAGAGAAGCTCTGTTGATGGACTTATTGGAAAAAGTAATCTCCATCACCCTCATCCCCTCTGTCATCATCTATTTGTCGCATCCCGTCATGTGTTACATCTTCATGAAATATCCCAAAAAGGTGGAATGGGAGGGACGTGAGGTAAAGATATTACGTGAGGTAAAAGGGACAGGCGCATACCGTTGTTCTGAAAACAACAGGAAGTTAGTTATTTCAATTTGGTCCATGTAGGGAATTGAGGCACTTTAAAACTGACCACCCTTTGATGTAATATTCATCAAAAACTTTACTCTTTTTAGGGTAACAAATCAAATCTAAATACACACGATACGATTAAGGACAATTAGGCTCAGTGTGACTTTATCAATTATGTGTTTATAAAGCAATGTAGAAATCATATGAAAAAGATGCCACCATGCAACGTACACGTTTTTAAGCCTTTTTTCAGTTTAATTCCTCAAACACCTCTTCTCTATCCATATATTCAGAAAAATATCTAAAGCATCACACTATGAAATCCCTTAATATAGAATAAAATACACCACTTGAACACAAATTAAATTAATATAGCACTGGGTTTGAACACTTTGTGCCTTGCTTTGTTTGTGGAAATGTTCATGTAGTCTTGGTTTTAATCCTTCTGTATGTGCACTGCTAGATCACAAATCTGCCTTAAAGTGTATCTATCTTCATGCCTTAAATTATTGCTAATTTATTGAAATCACTTTAATCTGAGTGAGATAAAGTGATGTGATTCTCAACATGTGGGTGGGGTTGAGTTGATCACATACTGGTTGAGGGATTAAGCTGCTTTTAAAATGTGTAATTCAGTGTGAAACAGGAGCATGAACTGCATATGTGTTGTTGTGCTTTCAGAGACAGGTTTTTGAACATACTTTACATTGTTTGCAGGTTATATATTTTTTTTTAATCAACCAACTGTTTACACCAAATGTGGCCAATGTTTTGCTGTTAATGTGTGTTGACTGTAACGTTTACTCGAATCACATGATGCATTTAGGGAGTTTGCCATATTGCTTTAAATAAACAAAATGTTTATAATTGCAGAAATGAAAAAAGTTGCAATGATGTGTCCTTCATTGTTTTATATCTTAAGCCCACTTGTAACAGTCATACAGAATATAATATTTTCCCACACCTATAGTGACATTTCTTGATGAATGCCACAAAAAACTTTGAGTCGTGAATTTGAAATCATAAGAAAAAATTGATTTGAATACAAAAACGGAACTTAGAGAAAAGACGGAAAAAAAAATTGCTTTTACATGTTGTCTTCAGTTTCCCTCTGAGCAGTCCTTCTTCAGACCATCAGTTCAGCGTGGAAGATAATGAGACTTCGTACTCGGGCAAGATCCACCACCATCACGGTTGCCACACACACAGCCACAACACGCTCTGCCACACACACACCAGGAACAGTGAGTACTGTCAGCCTGAGGGAGAGCTGTCCAATCTGTGATACGTCTGGACCTGATGCTCTTTTCATGTTTATCACTGTCGGTCAGCATCCTGTGGTTTGTTTAAGACTCAACTGATCTGAATCCCACACAAACCGTACAACTGCACTTTTAGGATAACATTTACCGGTAAATGAATTTCGAATTTTGGGTTGTGAAATATCCAGTGCTTTGAGCTTTCTGCCATTCACAAATACAGTGTATAATATATATTATTATTATTATTATTATTATTATTATTATTATATAACGTATCATTTTACGTTATGTTTGTCACTTTTAAGAATCATAGTGCAAAATGTAAAAACTGTTAATGGTGATGCTCTGAGGACCACCAATGTAATTCACCATCATTGTACTGATATGGCAATCTGGTTAGATAAAAAAAAAAAAGGGTTCTGTCGGAAAATAAGTTGAAGTGATTTGAACGTGACTTTTAAACACATTTTCACGGGTTTTCCACACATTTCTTTCTTTCCAATTTAGCTGTTTTGTTTATATACAATGCTTCGTAGTAACTGTGCCCCTGTGTTATACGTTAATAATGTAATATAGAAACACAATTAACTATTCAGATACTAACTGTATCATGTATTCCTGATCCTGTTCATGCTTATGTCTCTACAATACCAATTGTAGCCCATAATGAATCTTTCAATTAAACTTTGTGTGCATTAGAGCGCCGAGCTCCTCCCTGCCCTGCAGATGAGTTGGACATCTCTCAGTCTCTGCTCAAAGCTCTGGAGTCAGACAGTGATTCTCCCCCCTGGCCTTCACTGCAGGTCAACATGGACAACAAGGTCAGACACTTCGCCCACACACTGTTGTCTCATTTTGCTCACAAGAAGATATTTCCTAACTTTCTTTTCCTCCCTCTGTTGTTTCCTGGCAGGGAGAGGAGAAGCAGCTTTCTGAAAAGTCTCTCCACCCTCCTGTCTCCCCGGCGATGCTTCCTGATCATCTCAAGTGCAATATCCTAAAGGCCCAGATGGAAGCAGCCTTCAGGGTGAGAACCAGAGCAAAGCTCAACCTGCACATATCATCCTTGTGTAATGTAACAAACAGTAGTATCCTCCTCTCCTCTACAATAAAGAAGGAGGCTTCACCAACGCCCAGAGGGAAGAACTCGAATGAGACCCTCATTGACAGGTCAGTGCTGTCATCCTATCCTTTCATGCTCAAACACGTTTCTGCACAAGTGGGTGGAAGATTAACTCTGTGTGATGATGTTTCTGGTCCTCAGGTATCAGAACTCTTCCCAAGATTCAGCTGTATCCAGTCTGACAGCAGACAAGATGCCACATCTGCAAGACCGCAACCCAACGCCAGAGAGGCTGCAGCCCAGGTCTAACACGAGCACCAACCGCAGAAAACGACTGGTCAGACAGTTCAGCTTGTGAGTAAACTTCACCTCTGATTACTGTCTCCCAACCAGCACCAGAGCTTTCGCAACAGGGGCATTGCACTCTTGAAACAAATCCTCCAAAAAGAACACTTTTTCTGCTCTTTAAAAATGCAATTTGTAAGTCATTCAGTATTTATCTCTCTTACAGTAACCATGAAGATGAAAATGATCTCCCAGAAGCACTTGCAGCTATCTCCTCCCAGAGTGCAGGGAAGTCAGGATCTACCAACTCATTGGATACACAGATACAGCCGTCCATATACCCACAGGTAACACACACTCTCACACACACCTTAGAGAGATAGTTCAGATGTTTTTAAGAAGGGTTTGTATGAGGCTTATCCATGGTTAATATCAGTTCTGGTGTACGTATTTAGAATATTTTCATATTTCACTATAAAGTCTGCTTTCAAACCGCCTTTTCCATAAGAGATGCAAACTGTTATCATAGCTCTTTCCATTGAAACATTTTTTATTTAAGCATAATGCGGTAGATGCTGGTCTACTGCTACCTTACATTAGTTTGTTTGTGTTATTGTGTGAGATCAAAACAAATCAAAGCACTGAATCCAACCAAAATAACAAACTAACTGATGGAGGCAGCGGTACCCCAGGAACTCCTTCATCCTGTGGCTAAAATACTGTGTTTGTGAATGGAGTCTGGTGGCTGTAGGTACACTGTATCTGTTTCATATGACATGTAGCAAACGTAGGAATGTTTGTGTGTGAACACTGATGTTTTTTCCAGATGGAAAATATGCCAGCTCTGGAGCTGGGTAGTCCATGCCGTCCCTCTCCTTCGCCTTCTCCCCACCCCTCCCCTTCTTACTACCATAGCTCCATTCCTCGCCTGGCCCCCTACCTTGCTGCCCATACTGACAGGTAACACACCTCAACTCTCATTGTTCCCATTGTGCAATTGATAAAACCTTCATCCAGTGGTCTGAAGCTTTTCTAGGGCATCATGGCGATCTGGTTGTCAGGAAGAAGGACAATTGTTCGGACTCAAATCTAGATGTTTTTAACAAATTTGAGTTTTGTATCATTCTGTGTTTTCAGCGGAGAAGAAATGAGGTTGGACAGAGAGAAGATACTAAGAGCCCTCTTGATGACGGAGCTCTGAGACATTGACCCTTGGCGCAGCTGACCCGCCATTTAAGTGAGGAAAGTGCAGAGGACCCAAAGGCGTTGGCTGCAATCAACATTTGTATATTTGCATAATACATTCAGCAGTTATAAATATATATTTGCATAAAGGCAATTTGCTTAATTCTTACTTTAGGATTATGTTTCTTTATATTACTTCAAATGAACCTGTAAAAAACAAGTGAGGTAGAAGAAAATGGACTTTCAAACATTACAGACAAGCTACAGATGTGACTGGTGCTGCCTTCATGATACATGTTACATGATGAATATTTATCTAATTTGCTTTGGGGTTATGTTCTACTTCTTTGTCATCATCACATCAATGTCCATCTTGATGCCTAAACTGTTTATTGATCTCTACAATTTTTGGAAATGTGAAAATACATTATATGTTGATTACAGAGCAGGCTTAGTTCCTTATGTCAGATATCTATTTTTCAGATACAATTGCAGTGTTTAGACAACTTGAACCTGAACAAAGTGTGTAGAAAGTGAAGAACAGCCATGTGTGGGAGATGTTGAGGCTGGATTGTAAGACTTTACAGCTGCAGTCTCAATCCACTCACTAGAAGGAGACAAATGTGCAGTCACAGCTGAGCACATTGATGATTTTATATCACAGGTCAAAATGCAAAACTGATCTCAGAAGTCCTGTTCAAATAAGCTATTGTTGAAGCAAAACCCTGCTGCTCAAGAACATGGTTTCAGTCTATTTTTCTGTCACAAACACATCTGTCGCGACTGATGATCTGCTGCTGTTCTGTATGTGTTGATTTTGTTGATCTTAATAAAGGACACATTATCAGTTTGATAACTCTGCAAAGCATCGTCTTTGGTCTCCGCGCTGACACGGGAATGTGGCCGAGCCTCGCCCTTTGTGCTGAATGTGTGTAGGCCTCACCCACCTGTTCAGGGAATGTTGTTATATTGGACATTACTCATTTATTCCTTACACACCTATAAGGTACAGTTGGGTACAGTGAGTCAGCCTGTAATTGTCCCTCTGGGACTTGTTTAGAATAAATGTTCAAAACAAGGTGCAGCGGAGATGCTCTGGTATGAGGAATGCACTACAGAGGTTTTTATCCAACAGAATTAATGCGGATTATGACAGGTAATTATGAGGGTGAGCCAACAAACAAGACTAAGTAATTTTGGAAGTAACCACTTTTCATTTATATATTCATACAATTAAACTCACAAGAAAAGAAAATACATAGTTCTGGAGAAATTGAATGATAAAGGCCATCCCCTGCTTTGCCGAAAAAGAACAAAAAAATATATCAGAGAACCCTCCGTAGAGAAAAAAGGAAAGAACCCTATAATCGTTTTTCAGCAGCTCCTTATATCCTTCGTATTATACTACATCATAGGTTAAATAACTTTCATTGACTCAATATTTTGAATCTTATAAACTGCACTTCAATTGTGCAAATTACACCTTTAAACTGAGGCTTAATTGTTACACAGAGGTTGCACTTTGTCATGCAAAAAAGCCCTTTTTGATTAGTTTTGTAATAACTTATTTTGAACCCGAGCTGCATTTTTTTCAAACATAATTTCCCACTTAAATCTTAGTCAATGAGGAGATAAAAGTTAAAGAGAAAAAAAAGCATGTTGGGCTTTGTTGTAATGATATTAATGGTGTTGCTATGTCGGTTTAGGCAGTGTTTGAGTGTGTGTTTTTAAAAGAAATCAAGTTGGGTGGGGTGCACAAGATTGTATTACACAATGCCAAATCTGCCCTGAGGGGGTATGACGTGGTTGTCTGCTTTCCTTCCATTCTTTTAAAAAAGGGCCATCCTCTCAGATAATTTAGTGTGTCTGAGGGACAATAGCTTCTTTGCCAGAGTGTGTGTGTGTGTGTGTGTGTGTGTGTGTGTGTGTGTGTGTGTGTGTGTGTGTGTGTGTGTGTTTGTATGTGTATGATATGAGAGAGAGTGTGTGTGTGTGTGTGTGTGTGTGTGTGTGTGTGTGTGTGTGTGTGTGTGTGTGTGTGTGTGTGTGTGTGTGTGTGTGTGTGTGTGTGTGTGTGTGTGTGTGTGTGTGTAACGCAGCAGTAATCACGGAGGATGGCGTGAGGGAGTTACCACAGTTTGGCCTCCAGCAACATTCTGTCATCAGACAACTACACCTGTGTGTTTGTGCTCCTTCACAAACCCTCCCAAAATACAGCCAACACAGTAAGTACACAGCAAGGTGGAGTAAAGGCAAATCGAGAAATTAAACACCTGATAGCTGGCAGACTTCACATGTTATATTTATTGTTGTTTCAGCATTGACACAGTTTGACATCCTGAGCAGGACTCCCACTGTACAGTATGATGCGTGTACAGCAACATGAAGCCCAAACAGGGCAAAAGTGGCAGTGAAGTTAATTATTCACAATATACACGTCAGAGGTGTTCATTGTTTCCTTTGCTTTTCAACTTTCCATTAACTCTCCAAATGATTCAGCTAACAAGAGAAATGGCAAAACGATTTCTGCAGGGAAACCTGTCTTGCATCCCCCACATAGATGTTGAAAAGAAGACAAGGAAAGTGTGATGACCTGATAACATCTTTGTGGTCTTATTTGAGCAAAACATGTAATTAAATCGGTCAGAAACCACCTCTGGCTCCTGAGATTCAATCAGTAAGATGAGAGCTTGTGACATGAGTCTTCTTGAAGAATGCAACCCTGTGGTTATGTTACAGAGAAGTGGGACTGTCCTCTGTTTAAAAGTGAGTCAAAAACAAAGGGCAAGACAACATAGGCATTTCACAACATGGAAACACACCCGTATAGGGCAGATATAAAGGGAACGAGGGGGTTAATGAGTGCGAGATGTCACCATTTTGTAAGTGAAGGCTGACTGTTGGACAAACTCACAGTGTAACATATGTTATCATTCGAAGATACTGCTATAATATTCATTAGTAGTCTTATTGATTAGCAGTGCATTGATATTTGGCATTATGTAAACATCTTAAAAGTTGTACTACTAACTTCTTCATGCACTAAAGCTTCCAATACAATCACTGTGTACTGTATCAAGTGTATATAAACACATTAAATGAGTTGCATAAACAGATTGAGTATTAAGACGTATCAACACAGCCATGCATAATACTCAATTTCATCTCTTTCACACTAAAACACACTCACACACACTTTCACTCTTCACAGAGAAGCTTTTGGAAAAAATGTAGCTACTAGTTCATAATTCTCAAGTTTGGCTAGCAAATATATCATCATGATTATAATATTCTTACATGTAAAAACATCTCTATAAAGCTTTTAAAATACACACTGTGCAATATAAGACAAAACTGCTATTTTTTTGGGCACAATGATTTTGGTATAAAATACATTAATTTCTGATCTTAAAGATATAAATAACACATCTAAAAGACTATTTTTAAAAACCTAACAATACATTACAAGTCTTTGACATATAACAAATCGTCACATGACCTTTGTTAAATTGTGACCCTACAACAGGGTCAGGTCCAGGTACTGCCCCCCCGGCTTGGCCATGAGACCGGAGAGGGACATGAGAGAAGCCTCACCTCCGCTGGACTGACCAATCAGACTGCTGCTCAGGAGAGACATGGACTCTGCGGGACTCTGGAGGCGGGGGAGGGGGAGGAAGGAGGGTTTGGGGTGAGGAAGGGGGAGGAGAGAGAGAAGAGAATTATCCCATTGTAACAGAGCCAAACACAGAGCCCTAACACCGGCACCAGATGTTACCCATCACCTTCTCATCCACCTCAAGGCTACACCTGTTATTACCCGTCATTATTTCACTACATCACCACCACCACCACCGACCGTTCACTAAGCCCTGCACCCCCTTAGTTACTGTTGCTATGCCTGTCAAGCATTTTGCACTACTGCTTAAATACTACAATACCCATAAGCCCAACTTGGGGTTGGAGAAAATCTAGTTGGAAGCACGAATGAGAGCAGTTGCAGTACTCAAAATGCTTAATTTTTGCTGAGCCATAGTTGCTTTATTAATTCAATCAAAATTGACCCAGTTTGGAGTTGTATATGAGTTGTATAAGAAGTTTTCTACTTCTTTTTCCGTTAGTAAGCCGGGCATGCTAACGTTTGCAACTCATATTAAAGCAGATAAACAGTGTCTAATCCAACCCTCACATTTTTATTGTGGTGTTTTTGTTTAAGAAAGATGATTTTAAAAAACACCATCTTCTTAACTCATGAGTTAAAGAGTAAAGAAAGACAGAAATCCAAAGTTAAAAGGTCTGCAATAACACAGCTAAGCTACCATTTGAAAATTACTGATTGGAGGGGTTTAGGAACGGTCATTTAATCCTCTTGGCTATCGCTTTAGCCAATAAATAACTGAAGACATAAATGTAGTAGCCTGTATCAGATCAATCACGCTGCGATGAAAGCCACAACAATTAAAGAGAAAAAACAGGGATTGATTCAAATTCAAAAAAAAATTCTAACCACTCAACCCAAACCGAGAATGTGTCAATTATTGCTACTGCGTGTGATTAGCACTTATGTCTGCATAGGGAATGTTGCTGTTGAGCCCCGTTTCCCCGATGACCATTCCAAACCCAAGCCGCAGCTACAACCATGGACAAACTAAACCCCTCACTGAGCCAATCCTTACCTGCCACCTGCCTTAGACACCTTAAATACACACCCATTCTTTGGGCTGTGTAAGCAATGTCCCGGTCGGGTCGTGAGCGTGCATAGCCCCGTGGGCGTGCATGAGAGCTTCCTCTGGGGTATACTGTGGTGTGATGAAGGGGGAGGAATGACAGAGACAGGGGCTGAGTGACAAACAACCATAGATTCTAACCTAAAGGCCACAAGGACCTTTTAATTCCACCATGAAAGAGTGAAAAAACAAACTGCACATTCTCACTCCACATGTCTCTTAGTTTAATATATATATATTTTTAACATATCCTTGGGATCCTTCTCCAAGTTAAAACGAGAGTTAAGTTTCTCCGATTCAAGTCGAAGCAAGCAGCAGTGCATGTGTGACAAACCAGGGAGAGGAGACAGGATAAACTAGTTTGATAGCCTCTGGGCAAACACAGTGCATGCCTGACAAGACACACCCACAGCAGAGGAAGATTTGAATACAACACTTAGATCCTGCAGCGATGTGTGTGAGCTAGGAAGCCACAGAGGATTTGCATGTAGGAACTGTATGAAGAGTTATTAAGCATATATGGTTAAGTCTCTTACCTGATATCCCTGCACTGCATTAATGAGGTCTTTGACTCCATTGCTGTTGTATGTCAGAGCTGGCATGCGCATCAACCCCCCTTGGGAGGACAGCGAGGAGGGGGTGGGGTAGAAACCTAGAGCGGTGGGTGAGCCAGGTGGACTGGAGAGAGACAAGAGAGAAGGCAGACTGTTATCATAAAAATATCTAAGAAAAAAACCAACTTGAAAACTGCATGTCTCTGAGCCAAAAAAGCAGATACGCTTCAGGAGATTGAGAGTAACTCTGGGCGTCGTCTATAAATGCTTTTTCAATGACAGAGAGGGCTAACCAAGCAGAAACAAAGGTCACTGAAGTTTACCAAGGTCTTTGATACCACAGCGTTCAGTTATTAACTGACCTTCTCCCAACCTTCTCCTTGTAAAAACACAATTGAACCAAAACTACACCTCTTTTCCACACTCTTTTTGGTGGCTTTGGAGACAATAAAATACCAGATTTATAAAAAAAATACACTTCACTAGGGTATTATTGCAAATTATTGCAGTCAAATCAATGTTTAAGCAGTTGACATAACATGCAGTCTTTGTGGAAGGTCACAGGGAAAA